TCGGAAATGAGAATGAAATTATAAACAAATATGGTTACAAACAAAACTACTATTGTTTCGTCAATGCAATAAATGTTTCTACAACTGAAGTACATGACGGGACCGATCCATGGAACTGATATATTTCGACTAAAAAATGGCGTCGATATATTTATAAATTGTGTCCAATGGGCTAAAGGATGTTTATAGAAACGACCCTGAAAAATAATGCATTGTTTTAATATATATATATATATATATTGTGGTTCAAATATACTCAAAAATAGTACAATGTTCGGTGAGTTTAAGACGTTCCGCAGATGGAGCTACTTTAGTTGACGCAACTGGCAACTTCTTACAAGTTTCCATTAACGGTTGCCGGTTGTAGCAACTAAAAGGCCTAGTTGCCGGTTATACAATTTTAAATAAAGTTTCGAAATTCACGGTCAAGACTGGCGCTGCGGGAGACGGGGGGAGTGAAGTTGCTTTACGAGTTTCGGTTGTCGGTTGCGGTAACCGGCAACTGGAGACAACCGGTACAAATTTGCAAGTTCCTTGTTACGGCAATTGAGACTATTTAATCACAGATTTCGGCAATGGTAGTAGTCGGTATTCGGTAGTCGACTACCAAAACTCTCAACTGAAGTTGCTCCATCTGCGCAGCGCCTAAGGCGCTCTACAGATACAGCAACTTTAGTTGACGCAACTGGCAACTTTTTACAAGTTTCCATTAACGGTTGCCAGTTGTAGCAACTAAAAGGCCTAGTTGCCGGTTGCCGCAATTTTAAATAAACTTTCGAAATCCACGGTCAAGACTGACGCTGCGGGAGACGGGGAGGGAGTGAAGTTGCTTCACGAGTTGCGGTTGCCGGTTGCGGAATCTGGCAACTGGAGACAACCGGTACAAATTTGCAAGTTTCTAGTTGCGGCAATTAACAAGTTATTCAATCACGGATTTTGTCAATCGAAAACTGTAGTCGATTCCCGAAACTCTCAACTGAAGTTGCTACGTTTGCGCGGGTTCTTGAAATTATATGAAAAACGTCATAAACAGCTAATTGCGGGTTGCCAGTTGCCGAAACTCGATGATCAAAGTTGCCCCATCTGCGCAGCGCCTAACTAAGCAATTCAGGGCGCTGGCGCTCCCGCGCTTTTACAGCGCCTCGGACATGTTCGCAGACGCGCGAGTGTGGTTTTGACGAAATCTGGCAAAAGAAAACTGCTTCGCTGTTGAACAGAATGCGTGGGAGCTGTAATGGCATCCTGAAAGCGATAGCTGATAGGTCCGATTGCCCGATGATGTGGAAACTCGCACCGAGGCCAATTTCATTGTTAGTTATTACGCTAGAAATCCTCCAGTCCCTCCAGTCGCGTAGGAATCTGTCTGGAAACAGGCAGGGTGGTGTACGTGCACTCGGGGCAGCTCACCCAAGGCACTAGCCTTTTGAAAACCGAATGCAGTCAGGACCTAACTGAATAGGTCCCAGTGCGGGGTTGCTTGCACAAGTTTAATTGCTCTTCCCTTATAACCAAGAGGGTGAGGGAGGGACACTATGAACAAAACTTATGTAGAAAGGTACGGGGCTATTATCAATCTAGGATAAGCTCTACTAACATTAAAATGGACCTCAAATGTTGTCTGACATAAATTATTATCATCACAGCGTCACAAGAATGAATCCATTCTTATGACGCCTTCTTAATTTTTAGTCGTGACTGCAAAAATGGCGTGCGCATGTCACTACTATGGTGCCACAACTGCGCTTCTAATTGTTGTATGAAAATTAATAGAATCGCGGCTGCAGTTCCACCAGCGCTTCTATGAGGCTGCAAACTGGATGACAGAGATCGGGGCGGCGCGGTGGCGACTGCGATGCGGTGAAACTGGCTTTTCGACGCCAGCGATATATGGTCTCCAGACTCACGGCGTGAAGTCTCTGCGAGAAAGCACGCCGAGAGTTCTCGCGAACACACGATACTGTCCATACTCACGGTATGTCTCACTTATGGATATGGAAGAATTTGACAGTGCTGTGACTTTGGTATTGTGTGCATTAGCGTAATATAATCAAAATTAAAATTAGAAATAAAATTAAGAAAAAAAAAGAAGGGAATTTTTTTTACGTCCTAATTTATTTTAAAATCGCCTATAATATATAGGTATAACATATGTCTACGACATAACATAACGTATGTGTACGAACTTAAATGAGTAGGTAGACTAGACACATAGAGAATTCGACAACCTCCTACGTATAATACTAACGCGGATATGCGTCAACAAGCGGGTATACTAACGCGGATATGCGTAAACAAGCGGGTAAACTAAAATGAGACTCGGGTGAGGGCGAGTCGGGTGACAGTATAAAATTATAAAATAAATTGTAGTTGTTCATCTAATCGATATCTAAGGTTTTATAATACTCTATGTGAGTAACTAGCTTTGTCAAATAAAACAGAAATGCTAAAGTCACGTGTTATGCTCATTCCAGTGAATTCAAAACTTTAAAACACTCCCAGGTAAACTTGGCAATTTCGATTTACGATACTTTACGTAGGAGGGGTCGAATTAACAATCACGTTTATTTAACGCAACTTTTCACATCGAACTAAAACGAGAAACCCCCTGAACTGGGCAAAAATATCGACACCGATCGGAGAACAGGCGAGCGCGAGAACAAGACGGCGAGAAACAATTCTCATTCGCGCTACGAGAGTGTGCGCGCCATGTCGACATCTCTTTATTAAATAATAGTTGTTATGGTCAAAAGAATACGTGAACCCGTACTACCAAAGAAAAGCAAAAAGCGAGCTTCGCCGAAATTATGAGGATCAAAGACAAAATCCGGATAAGTTCTATATACGCTAGAATATATTTTCCCAAATTTCCCACCACAAAAAGTAATTGAAAATACGTTTTATATTAATTTAACACAAAAAAATCATAAGGAAAAAAAATATTTGTAGCGTAGTTTATGTAGATAATTCAGGTTTTCTTTTTCAAATGCGGTAACACCTCGACTGCATTAACGCCTCTCAATTGCTTCCAAGGCCCCTACCGCCCCCCTACAACTCTACAGCACCCACTGGGGAGCGGTAGATCTCTACCGTCGTCGACTCTAGCGCATAGCTTCACAAAGCCGTCTCACTTTTGAAACTATACGCTAGAACGCCTTTGGAGTCGTTTGACTATATACTGGAAAGTGTCAAGCCAGAATTGGAATCCGACTTTAAATTATGACTGATAACTTGGGGTAAGTAAAATAACAAAATATATTTAAATCTAAGCCGAGTTGCAAGCACTAACGATGCGAGCAGTTTCTTTTTTGTTAGTTTTACCTGGCTAGCACATTCTTTGAGGAAATAGGGAGAGGCGAACCAGACACTCACGCTCCATCACATATACACACATACACACACATATTATGAATTAGTTATGAACTCAGTTTTTATTGTACCAATTTAAATGTATTTGTCTACCCAATGTTGTCATCATAATATCACATGTTTTGTATACATAGTGAGTTTCTTTAATTGGCTTGTGTACTGCTTAAACACATTTGTCAAATAAGTTTAAGAATGCTGTTGAAACTAAGTTCATTGAATAAAATAAAATAAATAAATAGTATTATTGTACTGATTTGATAATCGACGTTTAATAATTAGCTTAAAATAGGTACATATGATGGAATTCTCAACAAAACAACTTAAAATCACAGTTAAATTTAATGGAATAATATTTTTGTTGTTTCGTATTGGTGGTCTTTCTAAAACTGCTGAAATTGCTTTTTCCAACGACATCTCTACTTGATTGATCGAAAAATAAATGTAGGTAAACAACAGGACAACCCTACTACTATTCAAACGCGCATCCACGGTCTCATCATTATGTACATTTTTGCTTTGTTTGCCCATGAAAATGAACATCGTTAATCAATAGATGGCGCTGGCGTCTGGTTATTAAACATTCTGTATCGAAATTTGCATTTTGATCAAGTCGCTACAGCGTCGCCAGTTGCTGTCGTCCAGTTCGCAGCCTGAGCGTCTAATTTGGAGGCCCTAACGGAGGTTACGAATTAAGCCGACGTTATAATGTTTTACCCCACCCATTTGTACCTTTAGGAAAGTAGTGAAAATGATCAAAGGGAATCTGAAGATCAAACTACATGCAAACATTCTGTATACAAGGGAACGTTCGTAATTCTTGAACAGCTTATGATTTTCCATGCGCACCAAAACGTTGCTAAAGCTTACAAAAATCTGAAACAGAAGAAGGTTAATTCACCAGAGGATTAATTTATTTCTTTATGACTAACAGGTGTTACAAAGGCGTTACAAGGATGCATTCTGAATCACCATGACCCGCTAGAGTGAATGCAATCACTGCCATTCCACTGACACTCTATTGAGTCTCAACTGCCATTGCAACTACACTCGCGACTAACCAAACCGACTCAGACCTGCATATAAAGTAGTTTTTATCAAAAACTACCCAGTCAATTAATAAAAATGTCTTATTTTCTGATAACCTGAAACTTTAGCTTTAAGATGGTCTCATTAGCATAAAAATCGATTGCGTGGTTTTTGAAATAATGGTAATAGAGTTAACAATTAGGGAAAATAGGAATTTAGAAAAATAATTTATGGAGATTGTTATTTAAATTAAAACAAATAAAAATAAAATAATAATAAATTTATTTAATTATATTATATATACTTTATGATATTTATATATATTTGGTGTTACCCCCTCTAGCCCTAGTAACAGTTTGTAGTCGATTTTTCATTGACCTGATCAACTTTTTAATAACTTCTTAAGGAATTCCGTCCCATTCCTCTAACAACGCCGTCTTGAGCTCATTGATATTTGAAGGTACCGAGATTTCTGGCTCGGACCCTTCGTTTGAGCTCGTCCCTAATGCGCTGACCAGTCCATGGTCTGTATACGGACTTCTTCCAGAAACCGCTTAGTTATACCCGAAGTGTAACACCGGGCATTATCGTGCATCAATAAGAAGTTATCGTCGACAAACCCCGCGTACGGAACAACATGTTCTAGGAGAATATCGGTAATATACCGATCGGCTGTCAATCCTCCTCCTCGGCCTCCCCCAGACACGAAAACGAGTTCGGTTTTCCCGTCTAAAGAAATTCCAGCCCACATCATACAAGAGCCGCCGCCATATGCAACAGTTCCAGCGAAACAGTACTGCGAAAATCGTTCACCTGGGCGCCTATACACCCGACCTCTCCTATCACTGCCATGCAGACACATTCTGCACTCGTCAGTAAACAAGACAGCCCGCCATTGCTCGTGGTTCCAATTGAGGTGCTCTCTAGCAAATTGCAGGCGCGCTTGTCGATGGCTTGGCGTCAATTTCGGACCAGTTGCAAGACGTTTGGGTGTAAGGTTGGCTTCCCTCAGGCGTCTTCGAACTGTCCACTTGCTTACAGCCGCTCCTCGAACACGTCTTAGCTCTTGCTGTACGTCGACACCAGTCAGGTGGCGATTTCATAGAGATGTAGAGACTATGAACCGATCGTCGATTTAAATATATAATTAAAAATTTAAATATATATATAATTGCACAGTATAACACTTTTAAATGACAACTATGATAACACAATATATTTGTTTAGTGAAAAAACGATACAAAATCCTGTTTTCATACTTTACTGCAGTAATTTTTACAAGTTATTATTATTGGTACTGCATGATTGACAACCGCGCTGTCACTCGAACAAACGAAGACTATTGCGCGATTGACGCTCCGTATGAGATATATTTTAAAGTTTTTCATTTTAATTCAATATAGGTAATCAAACCCGGCTATTTTTGTTAAAATGTATATGAATAAAAATAGATTGCGATACTAATAGGCCATCTGTCAAAACAAGAATAAAGAAGGCAATAACGCAGTCACTAATCCTTAGAATTCACAATCTATCGATAAAACTATCTACAAAAACTACATAACTATTTAAAATTTTATGTAAACTGGCAACCCTACAAATGCCATTTTACTCCCGTGTTAAAAAAAGACAGATTATAATTACCTCCTCGACACACGTCACTTACCCTTTCCAAACAATATAATATAATAACTTGAATTGCAGTCAGGCCTGCCAATATATACAGATCCATTTCATTCGTTGTAACTTTGTCCATGCGTTCGTCGTAGAAAATTCGACTGTCGTACCATAGTTTGTTGTAGTGAGGGTCTACTGTCGGAGGTAGGGGATTCACTGTCAACTTCTTATCGGCATACCACATAGAAAGAACGATATTTCTAGCATAATAGCTTCCTACCATAACTCCAATTATACTGCCAAACTGTGAACCATAATTAATTAGTAATTAATTTAACTCATTTATTCGATACTCGTGTAGGTAGTATAACTACAAATTGCAAAACATCGACATTTTGAAATTGGTTACTTATAATATAAGCAAAGAAGTCGGAGATATTTGACAGAGGACTCCGTGAATAATCTACACTAATATTACATATATATTTTATAATATCAAGTGAAGTCGTGCGCCTGATGGAAAGCTGCACTTCTGTCCTTAAAGCGCAGGTCACACCGCGAACTAAGCTAACCAAGCTAACTAAACTCACCCAACAATCCTGCTAAGTTATGTAAATTATGTCACCCTTCTGCCGCCCTTCACCCCCGCACGTATCCGTAGTGTAGCACGTTACTATTTACTACGTATTTTTTTAGCTTAGGTTTGCATGCAACTACGTGAGCTAAGGTAAGATAGCTTAGCTTCGTTCGCGGTGTGGCTTGCTTTTTCACAAGAAGCTCTACTGATCCTAAATGTGAAATTAACTTTGTTACGTTTTCACACCAAAACTGCTGAACCAATTTTGATGAATTTTGGTATAGATATAGATGGTCATAGGGTACATTTTGTCACAGAAATAAATATTCAAGGGAGTGAACTAGGGGATTAAAGTTTGTATAGAGAATCAATAAACCTATGATAAAATGAGTACAGAGTACTAAAAAAACCGTCCTTAAGTGCAATTCATCCACTAGTTTGCCACCCTTAGATGTGGAATATTTTCTTCAAATTTAAATGGGACCACTTCTGAGGTACCATCTTTCCAACAAAAAAAGAATCATGAAAATCGGTTCGCAAGTTACCGCGTAACATACATACAAAAAAAACATATAGAGAATTGAGAACCTCTTTCTTTTTTTGAAGTCGATTAAAAATTAGTATACTACAGTACCAAGTAGGCTACTCAAAACAGGTACTTATTCTAAGCCATTGACTTACAAATAAATGGACGACGGGTCTAATTCAAAAACCACGAAAAAAATGTCCCAAGTCAACCTATTTAAACGTAGTGACATGTAAAGGAATATGAAAAAGCTAAAACGTTGAATTTAAATTGTAATGTCATCGCAGTGCTGTCTAATTTTGCTTGCTTCGCTGTCAGTCGAACAAATGAAGACTAAAGCGTGAATGACGCTCTGTATACGATTTTAACACCCTATAAGTTCGGACACTTTTTAGCGCGGACCCGACGTCCATATAATTGTAAGTCAATGTTCTAAGCAGACAAAGTGGCGGGCACCAGCTAGTTTAGGATGAACTAAAACCTCCGTGACAGCTGGTTTAACGGGCATCATTATCATTATTGTTACATTATCTCATTCTAATTTATAATGTAATAGAACGCAGCGTTACCGCTCAGGCATCGCAACAACGACGCAAAGCATAGTGTGGTATCGTTCTATGGGCGCATTCAAATTAGCCGCTGTCGGTCGCGCGGCAGTCGCGCTGAAATTTTTAGTGATGTTTTTATCTTAGTTACGATAGATTCTGACTTAGAAACGTTACTTTTACCTAGTTCTTGGGGCACATACTACCCATATAGGTATTAGAAATGACTCACCTGCCATGTTTTTTTCAGTTGTAGTTTTAGTTTCAAAATGTCAATTTATAAATTTTGTACTGAAATTTTCCCGAGCCTTTTTTTTCCAGTCGATTAGAATAAATGGCGGAACTGATGTCCCATATTGCAGGGTGTTGTTTTGCATTCTCTATAAATTCTTCGACACGATTTTTATCCATCGAAGTCAATTTGAAAAATCAACATGTATACCTCACTAACCGTGACCGCAACCAACACACACTAACAGCGGCTATATTATTATATATATTTTGAATGCACCCCAAGACGTGCAGCCAATAAATAGTTAATGAGCCAACTTTAAACACTGTTTGGTACCATTTAATAAATATAATTCCGCCACTCCGAGAATCATTAGTCCTTAAGTTCAATATTGGTGATAATAACTTACACTGAATACAAACACTAGCATGTCTATTGGCCACACAAAAATCTCTGCTAACGTCTTACGGGTTTCCCAAATACCCGTTACTTTAGATCTATATGCCCCTTTGTACTGAACAGTGTACTCCGGCCTGAAATTATTGTAAAATTTTTGTTAAAAATGATACGCTAAGGCGAGTTACAGGAAAAGAGAGAAAAGCAATAGTACATCAAATGTTTTGTAGTCTGTTTGAAGATGGAGTAAAATGACAGTTCATAACAATCGCAAAAGTGTGTGACGGTGTGTGACATCGTCATCCCACCTTTTTATCACCTTTCTCCGGTTCCTGGCCACTCGTATTTAAATTTAAATTTTGAATTGTACCAGTTCTTTTGCCTCGCATTCAGATTTAGTTTCGGTTCCCCGTTACTCCCTGCTCGATCGCGACAGCGTGCGGAGCTGTTAAAATTCAATCGCGTCTAATTTTGATTCCTTTACAACCTTTATCATGTATGTACCTATGAATACGTATCTGTAATTCAGTATATCTCGGTCTTTTTGGGGTGAGAGTCTACTTAATATCTTATTCATCAAGTTAGGAAGTGTAGTGTATTGTAATAATGTACCTGTTTTCTATATATACCTTTTATTGTTACAGCCTTAGAATAATAACGCATAGAAACCTAGTCCGCACACGCTAAGTGAGGCAAATTGAAGCGCGCCCAATGGGCCTACACGAGCGGGCGGGCCGTCAGTGCTCAAGGTCAACTTGCACCGCGAACGGATCAAGAATTTTAGCTAAAAATGACGAAATGTGCGGTAAATGAGTGTAAAAATACGTCAGACAAACATAAAATAGATACTAACATCACATTCCACAAGGAAGTAACGCGTTTCAATTTGTAGTTTTATATAAATATTCACTACTTACAACCGAAAATTAACCTACTACTAAAACTAGCCTACATGAATTTGATTTTTGCCTCACTTGTGACAGTTCGTTTGATATGAAACTATCATTCTATGCGTTATTATTCTAAGGTTACAGCCTTCTTTACCTTTTCTGCTCCTTAACCGACTTTAAACAAGTTTGTGGACCTGAAGTTTTCTGTTTTACTGCCGTGAAAAATTTTGGAAGAAACCAAGAAACTAAAAGAAGAAGACGACATACTGAAATATTTTAATTGTGAAAATTGTCATTAAATAAGTCATTGTAGTGCAGATCACTTACACACCCCGTATTTCAGACAAGAGACGACGGCCGTTACATTCAACTGGTTACAAATGTAATTGTTCCAAAGTTGGTGTACTGGTAGCACTATAGGCACAGTCGTATCAAACACGAAACTATCCAGAAACTCCTAAAGTTCGGTTATTCCAAGTACAGACGATATTGACTTACAACTTGTTTTGGGAGAATATCCCTACAAGTCACTACCACTTCTCAACATTATACACCACATAATTACGCAACTACATCTCATTGTAGTATTTGTGTGAAAAAAGCTGCCCTATCTACGAAATAAGCGTCCCTGCCCAAACAAAAAATGTCCACCACAAATGGCGGATTTAGTGTTGTACCATAATCATCGATAAGTCAATATCGACATGCAAATGTATGGCTTGAATGTTGAAACTGTTTTTTTTTGTTAAGTTTGTAATTTATATAGTTTACTGTAATCAAAGTATGATTAAAATGTTTAATTAAAGTAGATCAATATTCATTGTCATATGGGAACATCCAGGATGACAAATATAACATTTTGCATTTATAAATGCTCACATATTACTAAAAATAATATAAATCAGGAGATATCTATGCTTTGCCAATCTCAAGACTGATATTGGATTTTTTTTAAAAGGTTTCCAAATAGTGTAAGCTGTTTTGTATTTATGCATTGGTATAGAATTGGTATCAGTGATTTTGATTTAGGTGAATCTAACAGTTCCATTTAATTTTTGAAATAAATAAAATTAGTTATATAATTGTAATAACATTATCGGTAATCATATAATAGGTGAGTTTATTTGCCTAAAACATGGTACAACAGAAAATGTAGCAAGAGACAGTGTCAGTATAAATATGTTATATTACATAACCATATATTAAACTACCACAACATAATATGTTATAACATGTTATATAATGTTAGAGTTGTCAGTGGGGAAAAATCGGAAAATGTTTGTTGTTTAATTAAAATTAAATATAAAATTATTTACCAATGAATACGACGATGGAATTGCATTATCATGTAATCTAGTTATATTCAAAGTTCTATTAAAATTTGACTCTTCAAAATGGAGCGAACAAACGAAGGTGATATTTGATCCAATGTTTATGTTCGGCAATCCTATAGTTTCCAACCATTCTTTCTTTTATCGAGTACTTAGGTTTTCGCGATTGTCACAAATAGGAAATGAAACTATTTTTCCGGATTTAAATCGCGAATATTTGTTTTTTCAAACAAACCGACGTTTTGGCCCCTTTACAAGTCCCATGGTCACGGTTGACTGAGGTGGTACAGTCTTCAACCAGTTATGTCTAATATTGATGCAAACCACCCTATTTTTTCACTAAAGTTAAATAGTTATTAATTAAATACCTTATTTTTAATTTTACAAAGAAAACATTCCAATATACGCTACATTAAGTTTTACAAATTATTTTATTGAATGAATTTTTATTAAATTCAATTTATTATTAATTCATAATAGAAATTAGAATAAACTAAAATATATTAATCAGTACTGCAGTCGTATGTCTGATTGGGATTTTTCATTAGAGGAAATACTGGATCGCAAACTGGTGGTACGGAGAAACCATCTTCCCTGTTGATATTAGGATGTTTTTTTAATTTCAATGGCCTCTCGCAGCATCCTGGGTAGATAACGGAATTCTTTTGCAAGGACCTGGGGTTTGTCAAACTTCATTGAATATGTAGGTTTATCCATGACATGCTCGCAGACTGCAGACTTGTTTACGCCCCGGTGTTTGACATCAGCTATATGTTCTTTGACGCGGGTACAAATACTTCGCTTTGTTTGTCCAATACAAGAGACACAGCACAGCACTCAAAGTCAAGCTTGTAAACTCCTGCATCCTGTAAGGGGATGTTACATTTCACGGGTCTCAGGAACTGAGATAAGACAGACAGAATTCTTTCAAAAAACATTTCATCTTTCTTTTTTCATTGTAGTTAAACTTTAAAAATAAAAATAACAATAATGAAAAAATAAAAACCTCGAATTGAATTGTTTTAATAACAGATATCGATAATAAATAAAAATCTTCAAAATATACTAAAAAACAGGCAATCTAAAGTAACCAAAGCAAAATTCGTCAAGATTTATGAATAAACTACTTAAACGAGGCTAATTACATGAGATATTTGGGCAATTGTATGATTTATAGACAAAAAAACAACACATGCCGGTGTAATGCAACATTCGGTTGATTTCCGCCTTTTCTACTGCCGCACCCCTTAATACCGCAGCGACGCATTTTAATCAATACTTGATTGTTCTCATGTCAATATTTTTGTCCAAATTTATTACAATTCATGCGAATAGTTCAATAAAACATTTGGTCAAACATTAGTTTTGACATTTCATGTACTTCTAAAATGGTAAAATGTTGGCATTTAAGATGACGTTACGTATTTTCGATTCCCGTGTTTCTCTTTTAGCTTACGACGGCATACAGTAGTTAAACAAAGACAATAAAATGTTTATGTTTCCAACGTCTAAATGCATATTATACATATAACGTCTGATTTATATATGTCAATATTCTTCACTTAGTCAAATTTATTTTTGTCGTAATATTAATGCCAAAATTTATTTTTTAAATATTTATTCCTTAAGAATAATTCAAAAAAGATTGTAAACTCAACATAATTCAGTTATTTATTAAGAAATTTACTAAATTTCTTAATACCATGGAACAATTAAACAAACCTGAAATTACACACGAACTCAAAATTCGCGACGCAACTTTTGAAACCAGCCAAACTGCCGATGAAATTAAAAAATTCCACATCTTAATCTCTTCCCTCCTTTCTTCTTACCCCATTAGGAAGAATAAAATCAAATCGTATCTAACACACATCAAAAATAGACTATCCAGAATCGAAATTACAACTGAATCTTCTATAGATATCCTCGAAACTTACAAAACCATATGAGACGAACTTACTAATTTCGAAAACACATTCTTAAATCTAGAAAATCCTACTCCTCGATCAATATATAATTCATCTGAATCTCTCCAACGTAACCCGTCTCCCAACGCGAGCACATATTTTGAAACTCTAACACAGAAATTACTAACCGTATCAGACAACCGCCTCGGTAATGATATTAAACGATTCACTTACAAAGGAAACGGCTGTCCTAGAGAATTTATCAAAAACCTTGAAGAATTCGCTATAACAAGAAGTTTGACAGAAACGTATTTATTTAATCATATTTACGACATACTGATTGGTACAGCTTTAGATTGGTTTAGAGCTAAAAAAGACATTATAACTGATTGGAATACCTTTAAGACCTACTTAATAAACGACTTCGAAAGCACCGATTATGACTACAAATTAAAAAAATTATCGACTCACACAAAGATAAACCTAACGAACGTGTGATTATATATTTTTCCAGCATGGAATCATTGTATTTCAAATTACATGAACCATTATCCGAAAAGCAAAAAATTTATATTCTCCGTAGGAATTTATTGTCAGATTTTGGTAAACGTTTAAATCCCACCAACTTAAAATCTATAGAAGCATTACTCCAATCTTGTAAATGGATCGAAACATGCTATGAATAAGGTATTTAATTAATAACTATTGTAACTATAGTGACAAAATAGGGTGGTTTGCATTAATATTAGACATAACTGGTTGAAGACTGTACCACCTCAGTCAACCGTGACCATGGGACCTGTAAAGGGCCCGAAACGTCGGTTTGTTTGAAAAAACAAATATACGCGATTTAAATCCGGAAAAATAGTTTCATTTCCTATGTGTAACAATCGCGAAAACCTAAGAACTCGATATGCAATGAAGTCAGCAGTAATAACAAAAATTTCTAATCACAACCCAGCACATCATTTTGCCTCCTACGATCATTCCCATACTCTCACCCTATAAATACAGTATCATCGCAACCTCGTACTCGATTTACTTGTCCACGCTGTCGTAATAATAAACATTGCTTAACCAACTGTACAAACGCAGAAGTAGTATGTTTTCGCTGCGGCAAAAAAGGTTATACTTTTCCTAAACGCCCCAATTGTCATAAGATTTCAAAGAACTAACAAGCGAACGTAGAGAATCAAATAAAACTTCTAGGACTAACTGGCCTAACACAAATTTTCTTCAAACCATATACAATTTCTAAGTTCCTGCTTTCAAATAACTCTGACTCTGAACGCCCACACTTATAAACAAAAGTTAATCATTTGAATATAACAGGACTGTTAGATAGTGGGAGTGCTATCACAATCCTCAGAAATAATTTTTATACACAGCTATTTAAACACGGTTTCAATCAAAAAAATTCAAATTAGAATCAATCCATTAGAACCATTGACTTACAAATAAATGGACGACGGGTCTAATACAAAAACCACGAAAAAAATGTTCCAAGTCAACCTATTCGAAATTTAAATTGTAATGTCATCGCAGTATCGCGCTGTCAGTCGAACAAATGAAGACTAAAGCGGAGTTTGGCGCTCTGTATACGATTTTAGCGCCTTACAAGTGCGGACACTTTTTAGCGCGGACCCGACGTCCATATAATTGTAAGTCAATGATTAGAACCCATCGTACTATTCACGGTACTGTCGCTAATGGACAAACCATTGCCTCTATCGGTACAATTAAACTTTAAGTTTTATTTACAAAATCAATCGTTTCAATAATCGCCCATGTTATATCTAGTATCACCGAACCATTCATATTAGGTATAGACTTTTGGAAAACATTTAAACTAGCACCCGACATTCTTTCCAAAGTAACATTTCATAAAAATTCTGACAAACCAAGATTCTTAATCAACACTCACGACTTTCATTTTTTCATTTCACTTCAATATAGATAATCAAATCCAGCTATTCTTGTTAAAACGTATATGCATAAAAATTGATCTAGATACTAGTAAGCCAACTTTCCAAATAAGAAGAAAGAAGGCAATAACGGAAGTAGTAAATATTAGAACGTCATAACTTTCACAATACAGTCATTTTTTGCAAAACGTTATCTTCTGTCACAAACTATCGATAAAACTATCGACAACAACTACAAACTATTTAAAATTTTATGAAAACTGGCAACCTTACAAATGTCATTTTACTCCGTCTTCAAAAAAGACAGACTGTAGGTGTTTGCTATTAAATAATGGTCTTACTAAAAATATACAATACACCTAAGGATATTATCTAAAGAATGTGATAATTTCTTATAGTTCAGGAAATATTATTTGCACCGATTAATGTTCTCTTAGAACGTATTATTCTTTCTATTACAATACAGGGTAACCTATCACAAACTGGAATTTTTTTTCCGAAATAACATTTGTTCCAATTTTCATTACACCGAGAACCGATAACGAAACCGTTGTTCTTTCAGGATATGTTGGATATTTATCGCAAAGACACGATTAGGTTAGGTTAATATTATTGTTTAATATTAGAATATTAATATACAGGCTGTATATTTGAAAGTGAGACATATTCATACATGTCATAGTAACAACTTAACATAGACTAAAATAAAATTAGGATATGGGATAGAACAAAAAATAAATCAACAAATGTGTTTTGAAGTGTAGATAGGAATAAACCGATTCCCTTTACGCTTAATTTCGAGTGTAATGGGAGTGCTACCAAGCGAGCGCCGAGTGAGACAGCAACAATAACAATGATTTCACATTTACGTTTTAGGTTATGTTAATTGTTTTTTACTTGAACTATCATCGAAATGTTTTAGTAAGTAGTTATCATTTAATAAGAATTGAGGTTTTTGGCGTAGTTAAAAATGTGAAATCAAATTAATTACAATGATTGATTTTTTAGTTATTTACAGTTTATTTACACTTACGTGGTACGGAGCAAGTGTTCAAAATGTCCACCGTTTTCCACAGTGCATAGTCTAGCACGGCATAGTAAATTTTGTTTTAAATTGTACAACACAAACACATTTTGTCTCACAGTATAAAATGCTGAGATAATCCTCTCACGCAACGCTTCGACACTGTTCACCTCTTTCGCGTAAACTCCGATTTGGGAACATTTCAATAGCTTGCCTCACACTATCACCACTTATTGCGTAAAGTCGCACCATCTCAGTCAATTCCACGTTAGAATAAATACCCATTTTGCGGCGATCGGGCGAGCGGAAGGACAAATAATTTACGTGTCTTCGACAGTCTTCGTTAGATCAAGGTCGCGCGTGGACTGAAAAATTTCGCGTATGCGCCCGCGTCCCGTCCTCACCCCCGACCTGTGCTTTGCTTTTCGCCGCTGCGTCGGAGCAATAATAGTGATGTGCATAGATTTCGATAACTAATGTTGTGCTCAAGTAGTAGTCGATAAAAAAATAAAATAAAATATTTTTTGTAAAGTTTAAGTTCATTAGTTTATTATTTCTTTGGGTTGAGAATCAGGAATATAACGCACTCTATAAGTATGTCCCACTTTCAAATATACAGCCTGTATATTTACTCAAAATTACTTTCGTGCAAACGTTATTTCTGGAAAATGTCATTTCAGACTACTGACAGGTAACCGCTATACAGTAATCAAAATATTAACACTTCTTTTACTCAAAGCGTACATGGACTTAATGAATTTAAATCATTCGAGTCATGTATTAAATGCTTTTTCTGAATTCTAGTTTTGAATTATTTCCTTACTCATTAGGTCGTTCTTTTAAACTGTAGGCACTTCCCAAAATAACGACTGCCAATTCATTTCTTAGTAATTTACCAAATTTCCTTTTGCATAACGATTATCAAATTTAGAATTAAGTGCCAATGTGTAAGTGTTCAACTAGTTCTTTGCACTATACAGATGGCATGTGCGTTATCGAAACAGCTCACACTTTTGTCCTATTGTATTCTAAAGGTGAAGCGGTAAGACGACTCCGTGAATGTAATATTTCGTGTCAACTATACATGATAGTATGTGCTTTGTCCGATCATACAAAACCTTGAAAACAGGCAAAGTCAAATACCAAAACAAATTTATCTAAGAATAAAATATTTAACTTTGTACATAATTTTTGTAATATGGAGTTATTTTTCTTTAAGTACTACAAAGAACCTGCTATATTTTGGTTTTCAACTTAAGCCCCATAATTATTAAATTCACATTTATCCCAAAACTTGGAAATTGCCCAGCGGTTTAACGATACGCTTTAACGATGGGGTACATCCCACGTTTGTTAACATCGGATCTACGTCGATTTTTTTCAGCTTGTTATTTTTAATGTCATTAATTTTCTACGCGCTGACTTCGAGCCCCCCACACCTCACATCCTAAAGTCTAGGCTTGTTGAAATACCTCGCCTTAAATAGAACAATTTTCGTCATTACCTTACAATAGAATTTTTCAACGTATGTTTCAACTCCCAGAGCCAGCGATAAAAATTGTATTTTCTTCTCCATAACAAGAAAAATAAAAGTACTGAAACAATATTTTTTTTTATGTTATCAAGTGACAAGTTGAACAAATCGTGCACCTTGTGGTAAGCGACACGTTGGGATGTAGCCTCAGATGCGAGGTACTTTGTGCGATTTTTTTTAGAATAATAGTGGATGCGGATTTGGTCATTATAATTCTATATAGAATATAGTCAAAGTCAAAGATTATTTATTCCATAGGTAAAATAAATTTACACTTGAAAACGTCACATTTAAGCTACTGCTCGTTCACTACGCTGACCTCCCTGAGAAGAACGAGCAAGAAACTCTAGGGATGGCTCTTTTCAAATAAACTTAAATGCTATGGAATACACTTTGAATCAAATTTGTGTGGATTCTGGAGCCATGTCGTCTTTCCATATATCTTTATCTAACACGTAGTCTTCAATTTTATAATATGATTTTTCGATCAAAGTATTTTTAATGTAGTTTTTAAACTTAGGAAATGATAAACTTAATATACGGTCCGGAATCTTATTGTAAAAACGTATACAGTTCCCCATAAAAGAGTTGTTTACCTTGGTTAAACGAAATTGTGGTACCATGAGTTTGGATTTAGCTCTAAGGTTAATATTATTAAGGTTAATATATGTATATTTAATTCTATATATAGAATAGCCAAAAGATAATAATTTTACGTAATTTTAAGGTTTTAATGATGTCGTGGACCGGCTATGTTGAATGAAAAAATCGTAATTAATGTAAACGCAATCATTTTGTTTAAAAAACAAACCATTCGTTTTCTCCACCAAACACAGCCGAATTTTCGATCCCTGTCTGGCTAAATGGCACTTGTACATACTCATCACGCGCTTTGAGTGAGGCCTGCTCTCGATGACCTTGTTCCGCAAAAACTCGCCATCGATGAAATGGATGTCGGATGCCGACAATTAGTGGCAGTCTGCATGAATATGTCCGCAGGAGAGCTGATGGCCAATGGAGCACACTTGTTTGTCAAGGCAAATTTAGTGTAGAACGTCCTGCGGCGAGAGGGCCGTACGACCTGAGAAAGGTGGCCGTTGGCGGTTGGATGTGGCGGCACAAGACCGGGAGAGTTGGCGAGTTCAAGAGAAGGCATATGGAGCGATGGAATTGCATGATTTAATTCGGCCTTCCCCGTTCCATTATCGTGGGACCAGACGTAGGCTGGGGTTCCACGCCTATGTTGTGGATATTGCAAAGATTCGTTTCACTTGCACATTTATATGGCGAAAGGCAAAGGAGTGGAATTCCCTGCCTGCAGACTTGTACCCTGAACGTTATGGGTCTTTTCAAGGCAAGACGTCGACCTCATCGTCGCTTTCCACTAGGTGAGATGGATGTTAAATGCGTACTTGTTTACTTACAAAAAAATATCTCTTAATAGTTGGTGAAATGGCGCACAAGCGTTTCGTAAGCATATAATTACATTATCAACAACTAATACATAAATTACTAACCCCAAAAAGAAAAAGCTGGTAATAGAAAATAAAAAAGTCTCCAAAACGAAACTATAGTCCATATCCAACAGTTTTGAATAAGTACAGGGCATGCTTTAAAATCTTGACACGGCGGACAGGATGTCAGGCCATCTCTTTTCCAACCGAATGACTCCAAATCTTCCGATGGTTTCAAGAATTTGTCTGTGCATATTTGGTCTATGTCTTGTCTAAAACAGAATAAAACGTGCTTAAATCCACTATGTATCCTACCCATAACGAGCCTTCAAATTAGACTATGCGAAGTAGACGTGCGGACTGTGACGAGATCCGTGACCAGTAGTGGGTTGATTGATTGTTTGAATTGGTAAATACCTAATCGGAGCTATATAAATAGATTGATTCTTGTAATTGATTAAAAATAATTACTTACAAAATGTAATAAAAAAACCAAAGGCCGGAAATAGCTAATGAGAAAACAGTTAATATTGACAACATTCCCATGTAGAATTGGTAAAACGCAAAATACATTGCAATCTGAAACAAATATAGCAATATATGTGATTTAGTTAAAGAAACGTAACAATACAAAGTTAATTGTAATATATTTTAACAACACGCCGCAATATACCATTTTAAGATCAACAAGGACTCTCTATTTCGATACCTCCAATGAACACTCCACCAACTTAATCTTTGGACTTGTTCTGTTTTTATTTTGTTTTTTGTTTTTTATTTTTTTTTTGTCACAATGTTAGTTTTTTTTTCGAATTTTGTTTATTTATCTCAAAATTCAGGGAGCGTAATCTTAGAAATATGGCTGTAATCATTAATACAAAGATCGAACACTCAGAAAAAATTCCTTCGATCCGGTCGGATTCGAACCGACGTCTTCTTGCATACCGTGCCAGACGCTATACCAACTAAGCCACGGAACGAACCAACGGACCTAACGAATTTTTCTATGTGCTTGCGTCGTGTCTGTTGTAATGGGTCGTAGACGAGAAAACAAATTATTGTATTTCGCGACAGTAATGCTCGAGGAATGCTCAAATCTGAATGACCACTTTCCGTACATCAACTAGGGTTTTTATATAAACAAAACACATCAGAAAGTCATCAATTAACAATTAACAAGGAATCTAGTCATTGCATCACAAACTGCATCATTTTCTAGAATCTTCGGAATTTATCATTTAAATAACAATTAAATAGCTATAATGTGGTTTGAGGCACATTACACTGTGTATTTGGTTTTTCACCGACTTTTTATTCGTAGCGCCATCTATAAGAAATCTATGAAAGATTTATCACCCAGTTAGTACCTTTACAGCTACCAGTCCTTTATTTACACTTTATTTACTTACAACAAACTAGTGGAGTAATTTCACAAAAAAATATTGAATATCAATTCAATAAAAATTTAAATATGGCTGTTTAGAAAATCATTTTCAAGACAGTTTGTGTAATAAGATCAAGACGCGAACACGTTAGAAACAAAGGGCGTTTAATACAGTTACACTTTTAAAAATTAAAAATACTCTATACTAATCTACGAGTATAATGGAATTTAAATATCTAAAACACATAAATTTTTCTTCAAGCAACAGCAACATCCAATTTGACATGAAATTGACACAGTTGTCCGAAATATGAGTTGTGTTAAAGTTACTCGAAATATAATGTTTAGTAATAATAATAATAATAAAATAAAATAAATCAATTTAACGTGAATGCTTTTCGCTTCGATATTTTAGGGAATTTAATTTCAAAAATCATAGTAAGAAATTTAAACATTTCAGTAAAAATTTATTGTCGATAAACATCAGTCTTCGTAAATGAACATCACTATATTTGAGTCTAGAAATTACTACGGAGACAAAAAGAAAACATTGAATAATAATAGAAATAGTAACTAAAAATGCAAATAACCGGTGGAATGTTATCTCACTGGTTTTAAAATTTTTGTTTTCACTCCAATTTTTACAAGGTGTATCGCAACAACTTGGCATTTTCACGTTTTACGAGAGATCTTGTATCTACAACGATCGCCATGTCACTGTGGCCAAATTGGTAGGCGTGTCATATATGGTATGGCATGATATGGCCAAAATGGCCATATCGAGACGACACGAACCACGCCATAGTATATCTCCCCTTTTATTCTATATCTATGCCCCTGAATGCGCTACAGTTGCGAATTTGTGGCCTTAGAGAGGGCAAGGATTTAAGTGATCTTTATAAATTTGCAAAAGCTGCTGCTTTTGCAAATTTAAAAAATCTTAACAAAAACGAATTCAATGAACCGGAATCACTAGACCACTACTGAGGTCTTTAAAAAAAAAAATTTGAATCGGTTCACAAATGTCCGAATAACCGCGAAACGTGCACACAAAAAAAAAAACATGTTCGAATAGAGAACGTCCTTCGCTTTTTTTGAAGTCTGTTAAAAATATGAAAAAAAAAAGCCTAAACCATAACAATTGCATTTTTACATACCTTGGGCCCAAAATACTCGTTTAAAACATTAATAGGCTGTAAACGGAACAGTTGGTTGTAATTTGCCCATTTGTAAAATAACACCTGAAACATAAGAATTTAATTACATGCACATTAAATAATGCTCGGCATTTCTCTACGAAATCGAATCAGAAATGAGGAGATCCGTAAAAGAACGAATATCACCGACATAGCTCAAAGAATTAGCAAGTTGCAAGTGGCAGTGGGCAGCCGTTGGGGCAGAAACATTTTCGAATGGAGAACAGGAGGTCTACTCTCTTTCTTGAAAACGAAATTTTGTTAACGAACGATATTTAAACGAAGTTTCGTCAATAACTTTACTCTAATTCTTTTTCGGTCGGGCCCAAGAGCTTCGTTGTCATTTACAATTTTCGTGCACGATTGGAATGAATGATATTGTGTAGGCCGTTTTTGATGTCAACTACGATAAATTACAGTTTTTACTTTAACTTAAAATTAATATAATTGTTTTGTTTTATTTTAAAATTTTACATTTAATATGTGGTTCATTAAGCATTTATTGTGATATTCATGCAGAAAATATAAAGAAACAAATAACAATATATTTTTGACGTAATTAGTCGAGACGCTAAAAAATAGTCATTGTTATCCAAATTATAGGTGGCAAAAGTATGACAACCAAAAATTTCCGCATGGCTATATTCTATAAATTGTGTTTTTTGTGAACTTATGGTACATACTATTTACAAATAAATATGAAAATGAAGGCATTTGAAGCTCTTGGCGAGATTTCTCGTAATCGTTATCTCCTAAAAAGCAGATTTTATTTAATCAACTTGCACAGTCTTTACTTCCTTGGGTAGAACTTTATTTTGTATAAATGTTTTCCGAAATTTTCACTGACACTCTTATTCTTCGGCCAGCATGCTGAGCTTGAGCTGAAGAAACAGTTAATTCTGAGGCAACCTTCTTTCAGCTTGGAGTTCATTTTCTCCCAACAATCGTGAGCTCGTTTCCATAACGTCTTTCTTTTGATAAGGGCACTATTTCTTGGCACTACTTTTCAAATAGAAATGTGAAATATGATATGCAATAATAAATTGCCGATTGAGTCTGTAATTTCCTTTAATTTAACAAAATTCATATTCAAGAAAATCAAAAGGTAGTTTTTAGTTTCGTCAATTCGACATTATAATTCCGAAGAATTATCTGTCAAAAACAAATTTTCGTTCGGATGTTCATGAATTAGAATTGAAATTGTAAGGTAACAAAAAACTAAACGTCTAACAATTTTTGTACGAACGAATTTTCGCATTGAAATGGAATTGTGGTAAGAAATAAGCGAAACATCGATCGAAATTTCGTTTTTCGTTGATAAAGAGTAGACCTCCAGGAATCGGAAGGCCTTCAGTGGGACAGCACCCTACTAGATGGACGGATGACCTGCTAAAGACAACGTATAACCGATGAATGCACGTCGCGTCCGATCGGCTAGTCTGGAAATATTTGGGTAAGGCCTATGTTCAGCAGTGGACGTCTTTCGGCAGATATGATGATGATGATATTAAATAAATAAATAAAAATCGTTCATTTTCAAATTAATTAACCCATATATGTTAGTAAAAGCAATACTTGTAAAATAGTCCAAACTGTAGAAATGTAACAATTTACAGACCTACCGCTTAACAGAGTCGGTTCCTGAGGTAGCTACGCGGTGCGGGAGACGTGACAGTTTAGGTTATGTCGCGGTGCACACCGGATAATATCAGCAAGGTTTTTCTGACGTATTATAATACCTAGCTATCGTCGGCTCAGAGCCGGGCCACACGATGCGCGACGGCGCCGCAGCGTTATTACGACCGACGTCGTGTCGCAGCGATGGGCGATGACGGAAAAATGTTGGACAAACAGTGGTGTACGGTCTGTTAATAAAAACCATCGAGTATATAACCAGAAATAGTGACGAAATAAGGGCCATATATTCCTGGTAACACATTAGCGATACAGCTCTTAGAAATATCGACTCCCGTTTGCACTGAAATATAGACAGGCCAACTACTGACCTGTGCGTACGTCTCCGTATATTCCAAAAAATATTCTGTATTTATTGTAATAAAGATAATATCACTAACAATGCCATGCTGTTCTATTCGGTGGTGTGGGAAAAACAGCAAAACATCTAATTACAAAACAAACGGAATCACATTTCATCGGAAATTAAATATCAAATACGTAATTTTGCAATTTTCGTCCTTTATAGCAAAGCTCAAGTTAACTGGTCGATTTGAAGTGATACAGTTGACGACACCCATTGACGACACCCGTCAGTTGTTTCGAATTCGGGCTGGCCAATCGGAGCGCAGTTGTCACAGTAATGATATGGCAGAATAGTTTTCAAACGAATTAAATAACATATCGTCTCTATTTCTGGTTATATATTCGATGATAAAAATGTATCGGAAGAGACGTGTGTTGTTGCTCTCATTGATCCCATATAATTTTCCTTTCTTGAATTAAACAAATCAAGTAGTACGTGCATGTCAATATTTTCTTCACTTATTTTTTTCCGACTAAAAAGAAACAAAAAATACGTAAAAGTGAACAAAACAAGCAAGCGTATGACCATCGTTCGACCGCAAAACAAGTGACAACGACGGAGCGGTGCCACTCCGGCGACGCAACGCGTGCTCCACGCCTCGTCTCACTGGTTGCAATTCCGGTGCGCGTGCGGCGCGGCCCGCAGCGCTACGTGTGGCATACCATGGATATTTCTATGTAGGACACCGCCGCAATGCATCGTTAGGAACCGCACGCGTGCCGCTCGCAGGAAACTCGCGAACCACGTACACACTATGATTTTTTAAAAGAACATACCACGGTTACGGTTACTTACTTGTCGGCCATTAAGTTGAGAAACGGGTTGCTCTGACGTAAAGAAATATGGCCCATCGTGTAAAGCGTACCCGTCAATGACTATTTTATGGTTTAATAACCTGTAACATACACCCCAACGAGTTTTTAGTCGTTTTTTTATTATACAAAAAGCATCGAGTATATACCTAGAAATAAAGACGAAATAAGATCCATCCATCCCTAGCAACTCATGAGGTAAAGGGCCTTGTATAACTTTTAAATATCAACTCTCGTTTGTACTGAAATCACAAATTCGAAAGCTGAAATAGTACAGCGCCAACAACTGACCTGCGCGTACGTCTCCGTATATTCCAAAAGTATTCTGTATTTATTATGATTGCTGGATTTTATATTTTCTTTTTTTATGTATTGGACATTTATCTTAGCACTAGCTAAAGGGCTTCCATTCCTTTGTATCCTCCATCCTTCTCCAACATGCGCACTTTGCTGCTGTCGTCTCTGTCACCGGCCAATGAGTTGGCAACAAAAAAAGACCATAGTCTACCCTGTGACACTGAACTGTGTGCATCATAAAAATGGCTAATTAGCGCGATTGTGGTTTTTAATAGTTTATTTTGTGCGCAATACACTGTTCTATGCTCAGTAGTGAACCTGAGGATTTTTCCTCCTGTGGCGGCCGAATCCAGGCGGAATTGCTGCCAGCGCAACGAAAGAAAAGGTGAGTGTGCATGTTCCCATCATTTTGCCTGTTCTTCGACCTACTGCTATATACTTGTTCCAGTCCTTAAAGGAAGCTACTTGCAAGTGCAGTTACTTGTAGTAAAAGTACCTTTTAATGTAATTAAAAAATCGCAAGAAATATAGTCCACTACTTATCGGTATTATACATCTTCATTTCGCACCACCAGTAATAAAGATAATATCTCTAACAATGGGGGCTCCCATTCGGTGGTGTGGGAAAAACAGCAAAACATCTAATTACAAAACAAACGGAATCACATTTCATCGGTAATTAAATATTACATCCAGTATATAACCAGAAATAGAACGAAATGTCATTAAATTTGTTGGAAAACTATTCTGCCATATCATGACGGTGACAACTGCGCTCCGATTGGCCAGCCCGAATTCGAAACAAATGACGAGTGTCGTCAATTGTTTCACTTGATAACGACCAATTTAACTTGAGCTTTGCTATAATGGACTAAAATGTATAAGTTATGTGATTCCGTTTGTTTTATAATTAGATGTTTTGCTGTTTTTCCCACATCACCGAATAGAACAGCACGGCATTGTAAGAGATATTATCTTTATTACAATAAATACAGAATATTTTTGGAATTTACGGAGACGTACACACAGGTCAGTTGTTGACGCTGTACTATTTCAACTGTTCTTATTTGTGATTTCAGTGCAAATTAGACTTGATATATAAAAGTGATTTTTCGGCCCGTTTGCCTTATGAGATGCCAGGGATGGATGGCTCTTATTTCGTCTCCGTTTCTGGTTATAATACTCGGTGATGATGATAGAACCATCCATAGCTAAAAAGATCTCATAGAAAATTTTGTCCAGATTATTTTCTAATTTTTTTATTACCTGTGAAATCCATAGTTCTTATCGCCTTCTCCAAAAGGTTGGTGTTTGATTAGCATGTACGTAATATAGCTACGGTCACGGTTTGATAAACGTAGGGGTTTCAAGTAACGCTTCCTGGAAAAAAAATCAATTAACAAAATCCGGAATGAAACTTATTGAATAAATATGTAAGTCTGTTCCAAAAGTATTCGACCTTCGTCCGTTATTCCGCTATTAATAGTAATCCGGCTCATGGTATCATTCAAAGTAATCTCCATTCGACTGAACAACACGCTCCCAACGGTGCTTCCACATCCCGAATCATTAGAACAGTCGTCAGTGTCATTTAATTAGTTTTGAAAAGTATTAAGCCATAAGCCATATTATTACTGTGACAATTGCGATTGAAACAACTGACGGGTGCTATCAATTCAACTGAGTATTACGCGAGACCGCTGCGCGCCACTATTCAACTCCATTATCTCTATTATATCTATACTATAAAACTCAATTGTTTCACTTCAAATCGACCAGTTAACTTGAGCTTTGCTATAATGGACGAAAATTGCAAATTTACACGGTATGTATGACTGTGAACTGGCAATCGGTACTATCTCAGTTTTGACAACTTTACAGAATGAAGAAAAAAATTTACTGCGTCATTTATATAGCATCTGGTTTATTAAATAAAACAAAAACCAATATTTTTATTACACATGTATGTATGTACACTACGTATTTTTATTTAATAAATAAGTTGAAAATGATAAATGATTTTTTCTTCATCCTGTAAAGTGGTCCAAATTTTGATAGTACCGGTTGCCAATTCGCAGTCGATATTTACTATGTAATTACCGACGAAATTTGATTCTGTTTGTTTTGTAATTAGATGTTTTGCTGTTTTTCCCCACACTACCCAATGGAACAGCACGTTAGAGATATAAAAATATTCTGTATTTATTATAATGGAGATAATAATCTTTATTACAATAAAGAGACGTACACACAGGTCAGTTGTTGGCGCTGTACTATTTCATTGCAAACGAGAGTTTATGTTTGTAAGTGATGTATCACCATTGATGAGTTACCAAGAATGTATGGACCTTATCTCGTGTCAATATCGTCAAACGGGTAAAAATCGCAAGGGGCTACGTCGAGACAGTACACGCAGGTTGATCTTATGTTTTTCCAAAATCTGGTGATAAAGCCAAATAATCGCTATTCGCTATAAACTAAATAGATCGAAAAATATATTTTGCTCAAAAATACTTCTTACTGTCATTGATGGACTATTTATATTCCACCTAATTTGAATATTTTTGCCTAGGTAATAGACTAGAAACGACTCATCACGTTCAGAACTATCTCATGCTCTGTCATTTCTTACTTCTCTCAATGCTAATAATATAATAAATAATGCTTTGTTATTTACGTCCTCAAAGTTGGAATCGGAGTCATCCTCTTCCAAAAACTTTTTCATGCGTTCCTCATACGCGTAAAAGGTAATAATAAAATATAACCTAAAATAATTTATAAATATAATACATAACATGAAATCATTAATAATTAAAATATACATGTCTATAGGAATTACTAAAAATATTAATTGGCTAAAACTGTGACACCTATCGGTCGGTCTAACGGACCGATCGGTATCGTGTACGAATAGCGGTATAGCTTTATTAGATACGCTTCCATCTACCGTATAAGTTTAAGCCATTAAAAAACCCATATTTAGTACGTCCACTAGGGGATGAATTAGGTACGGCTTTTCGTAACGTTCGTAAGATTCGTCTCTGATTCGTCACGTCTCGAGTAATTACGCGAACAAAATGTCTGCTATAATATAGAATTTATGTATTTATTAAAGCTAAAAGAACACAATTACAAAATTAATCATTATCAATATTTACATAGTTAAACAGTTTTTATCAAATACAAGATAAATTTATTACCAAATTTATTAGGAAACAAACATTGACTCACAAATAAATGGATGACGGGTCTAATACAAACACCACGAAAAAAATGTCCCATGTCAACCTATTTAAACGTAGTGACATGTAATGGAATATGAAAAAGCTAAAACGTTGAATTTAAATTGTAATGTCATTGCAGTACTGTCTAATTTTGCTTGCTTCGCTGTCAGTCGAACAAACGAAGACTAAAGCGTGAATGACGCTCTGTATACGATTTGAACGCCCTATAAGTTCGGACACTTTTTAGCGCGGACCCGACGTCCATATAATTGTAAGTCAATGGAAACAAACAAGTGCAATTACAGTGTAAACAAAATTTTGGAAGACAAAAATTAAATGCTATCTGTTAAATTTATTACAAAATATACTATAGAAATTAAGTAAGTGATGGTAAGTGTATATAGAAGTTATGCCGCGAATTACGTAAAAATACGTGCAAGATCGAAATAAATGAACTGTGACATCGTACTCGCGTGAAATTAGTTGTTATTGATAATATTATAATTTCTGGCCTATTTTGAAACATGCCAATATCACCAAACATGCAACGAATTAGAGCTTAGAGTTGTCTATTCTGTAGGTGTTTATTGGTTGTGTAGGAGAGAGATAGCTTCCGTGTTTATTATTTGCGTTTTGCACTGTTTACTTAAAGCAATAAGAGACAATCTCGTTTGAACTATGTATGACCTTTAAGTTTTTGATTCTGGAAGTACTCGACGTGACGAATCAGAGACGCTTTTTTACGAGTGTTTCTTACGAAAACCCGCACCTAATTCGACCCCTAGTGGACTTACCAAATAGGGTTTTTTAACCGCTTAAACATATGTGGTAGTTGGAAAGCTTAAAAAACTTATACGATTAAAAGGCGTCTCATAGCCTCGGGAGTCGCGAGTCATGAGCCGTATGTCGTGATTTAATTTCTACCCATAAGACATTTATTTTACGATTTATATTATAAGTAAATTTATTTATTTATTTATTTTACTTCAATTATAACGGACACACCAATTACAATAATTAAAGGTACATTACTAACACAACAACTTAATAAACACAACAAGATTAAGTACCATTCAAGCATCGCCTTCACAATAGCGTAGGCATCTTAACAATAACAGTGACCATCCATCCGCAAACAAGTCGCATTCAGGGTTGGTGGCGAGGAGAGAGTTAAGCGCTACGGTTCGGCACCACGCGGTGGCCATCAACTGCTGTCTTCTAATGCGGTGGTAGTTGACGGGGGCAAAGAGTCGACACAGCTCATTATTCAAATCTGGGGAATCTATATTGCCGCGGAGAATTTTGCACATAACCACAAGTTGGTGTTTCATTCGCCTAACCTCCAGCGAGTTATATCCTAGGTATATATATATATATATATATATATAGTTATATATAGGTATATAAGTAAATAAACGTGATTATTTACTACATACTACTTACGTCATTTTTATTTATAAACTTCGAGTTTAATAAGACATAAAATAGGTATAAGTCCTTTGCAAACAACTCGAGTCGTATAAGTCTTTCAAGTCGTTCAAGTCTTTTGAGTCTTTTAGTATAATGACTGAGTCTTATTAATAAAAACTCGAACCCCCAGTCTTAACTTTAGAGTCGAGTCCTGTAAAATGGAGTCGAGTCGTTATAAAATGCCTTAAAAGACTGAGTCTCTTTCATCTCTAGTTTAGAGCCTTAGAAAAGCGTACCGAACTCTCTCCTTGGGGGACGTACTGTATATGGGAAGCCACATACGCGTACGGGTACACGAGTTGTATGAGGAGTGAACCCAAAGCTTTTTAAAGTTTTCCATTTAAATAATCTTAGTACAGAGTACTAAAAAAACCGACCTCAAAAGTACGTGGAATTACATATAATTGCCAAGTTTTATTGAAATCGGTTACCGGAAAGTGCGCAAACCCGGATTCATCCCCTAGTTCGCCACTATACGGAACTTGACACAGGAGATAATAAAAATCGGTTCTCACTACTCAAAGTATATTGGGAGAAAAACGCCTTGAATTAAAGAATAGCAAAATCAACCATTAAAATAATTGTTCATTATACTAAAATTTAGGCGCTATTTATAAAAATGAATCTTCATGCCACAGCCACCCTTAGAGGTGGATGATTTTCTTCAAATTATATGGGACCACTATGGAGGTACCCTCTTTCCAACTAAAAAAGAATCGTGAAAATTGGTTCACAAATACCGGAGTTATCGCGTAACATACGAAATAAAAAAAAACACTGTCGAATTGAGAACCTCCTTCTTTTTTTTGAAGTCGGTTAAAAAAAGAAAGAGACCAGCGCGCGGGTATACGAAGTTTCGTCGAACCTCGTGAAGCGTATTCGTGGTGCGTTACGTTAACAAGATTGAAAATTTCGCTCAAATGGCGTCGGTTTGACGAGACAGACACGATAAAAAAATGCGATTAAGCTATTCCGAAAACTGACCTCCATACTTCGCGATGTGAAAGCACCGGTGAAAGAGTATTTATATTTAATGTTATTTATTTATTTAATCAATATTGCGAGTGGGCTCACAGAGCGTATCCAAAACACCCACAAGCTTAGGCAACATTACAAATTATTGATATAGAATTGCGATACAATTAAAATAAAATAAAATTATAGATACAATTTAGCTTACAAATGTCAAAACCTTAACCTACTTAGTGTCTAATTTCCTACACGTAAAAAGTAATTATTTAAAAATATGTTCGCGTTCCTAAGAATTTGTCCAAAGGAATCAGCAAATAAGTCCATGTCATAGTGGTCAGCGAGCATATCTCCGATGAGCGTGAGTGCCCGCGCGGAAGGCGCATGCGCAGCGCGAACGGTGCGCACTGCCGGCCGCTGCAGCAAGCGCAGCCGCCGACGCGGCGTCACTATATTGTTCAGTCGAATGGAGATTACTTGGAAGGATGCCACGAGCAGGATAAATTCCGAGAAACTCAAGAACGACCTCTGCTTTACAAGCGATAGGTCAAAGCATTAGGCTACCACAGGTATACTTACATGTGGCTTTATTATACGACATTATGGAATCTATAACACTATGGTGGATTAATAAATACCGCAATAATAGAATCCATTCCTTCTCATCACGTGGCCACAGACTGGAGCCCTGAGTGAACCAGTTTAAGGGCCCCATGAAATTGGCATGGTTGGCTTGAAAATCTTGGTTCACACCATAATATTCGGCGTGACTGTCTAAAACCACGTCCGGGGTATAGATCTTTACGAAGAGAAGATTATTGTACTCTTTCATCTGAAATCCACAAAAGGCACTAAATATCTGTTCAAAACTATTGCGGCGTTTTATTATAGTATAACAAGAATAGAAGCACAACTCTCGCCTGTTCTTTAGTCAATGCCTACAATTCACTCGGAGCATAGGGTTGTCACATTATTATTTTAGTTGTACCTACAACTTCAGCCGTTTCACTGCTATGACAATCATGTTTTGTTTTTTCTTTTATGCTTGATCTGTATTTGTGTTATATCAGTGAATAAACATTAATAAGAATCTATGTCCTTTAAAAACGTAAGATTTGGACGATTTACAATCAGGGCTCCAAAGTGTCTTCGAGAGATAAGTCTACAGAGATTAACATTCTTACACTATTGTCACTGTACATTTATGATAATGTCATTTATGCATTGACTTACAAATAAATGGACGACGGGTCTAATACAAAAACCACGAAAAAAATGTCCCAAGTCAACCTATTCGAAATTTAAATTGTAATGTTTTCGATTGTTCTTGACAATCGTCTTTATATTAAAGTCTCAAATTCATTTAAGGGGCAATGCATACGCGTCTATAATATAGAATATATAGATTCCTATTAATATTCAAAATTTGCCATTTACGAGGTTTAAAAGTAAGATTAAGATGAAACAAAACCTTTATATTAACGGTTATTATACAGCTTCTGCGTACTTGGATGACAAAAATTAATTTTACGTTAAATATTGTAATGATAATGATAAACGTATTTAGATATATATTTACAAAGAGCACTCACTCCCTAGAGTTTCTTGCTCATTCTTCTCAGGTAAATCTGCTTTACGAAAGAGCAGTCATAAATATTATAACAAAGATCGAAACGCAAAAAAAAAATTCATTCGATCCAGCAGGATTCGAACCAGCACCCTAAGGCAATCCGTGCCAGATGCTGTGCCAATTAAGCCACGGATCGAACTATCAGACCTTACGAATTTGTCTAAGTATTTGTTGCAGATCTTTGTTTTTTTTATTTTTAACGACTTTTTGCCATAGCGCCATCTGTGAGTAATTTATTTCTTCACTCAGAGTTACCTTTACAACTCACTGGAGATGTCGCTTTTTAATATTTTTTTTATTACCATGTTGTTGATGTTTTACTACCATGTTTTCTTTTTGTATTTCAACTTGAATGTCTTTTTATTTATTTTGTTATTTCTTTCTTTAACATTTCTAATTTATGTATTTTGTATTTTTTTTATAAAATCGACCCCTCCTACGTAAAGTATCGTATGTCGAAATTGCCAAGTTTACAAAAGAGCGTTTTAAAGTTCTGAATTCACTGGAATGAGCACAACACGTGACTTTAGCATTTCTCAGTTATATTCGGCAAAGATCGATTGCTCACTTAAAGTATAATAAAATCCTAGATATCAGTTAAATGAACAACCACAATTTATTATATAATTTTATACTGTCACCCGACCCGCCCAGTCTATCTCGCCTTGAAAAGGCCCAAGTTATAACGTTCAGGGAACAAGTCTGCAGGCAGGGAATTCCACTCCATAGCCGTTCGCCATATAAATGTGGAAGCGTAACGCTTCGTGCGAATCGTTGAAATATCCACAACATAGGGGTGGAACCCAAGCCTACGCCTAGTCCGCTGGTGATGGAAAGGGGAAGGCGGAACAATTAAATTGTGTGATACCATTGCACACTCTCCGTGATATATCCTGTAAAATACCGATAAGCAGGCGACTTTGCTTTCCATGTCAAATAAAACGGATTTTATTTTGGTTCGATTCCCGGGCCGGGAGAAATACTTGTATGGCCTACATTTATTTCTCTCGTGAGTTTTGTCTATTTGTGTGTCAGATACAGAGTTTCCCTAGTACGGGGCCATTAGTGTGTGCGTTATTATTAGCATTGCATTAATGACGAATCTGAATTCTATTTACTAGTCAACAACATTTAAATTCGTCTGAATAATACAACCGCGCGGGGCGCCGCGTAGATCAATTTCAAGCCAGTCTCGCCCGCGTGGGCATCATTTAAGTTAAAACGTAAAGGCTAAACGAATAGAGCCTATTTTGCCATGACAGTTAGACGCATGCAAATTTGCGTCAAATAAATACGCCCTCAGGCTGTTTCATGTTATACCGTGCCGGGGCCGGGCTGTGCCCCGGTCGTGCGCCGGCCGCGACAAGGTTAAATATCTATATATAATATGCTTATGAATGGATTTCATGTCAGATTGGGCCGAGTCCGTGTCACGGCCGGGGTCGAGTATTTTTCCCGGTTCCAACTCGACCCGATTGCGACAAGTCGAAATATGAATGCATTCGCCGGGCACCCGGAGGGTAGGCAATGTTGGACTATAGTGTAATGGACAGCGCAAGCGCAAAATACTCTCATAATCTATTGAATCTTTGAAGAGCGTGGAAAGTTCTTCGGATTCTCGTTTTCTTAAGATAGGATGAACACACCATCTTCTTTTTCTAGTTTCAATCTGTGTATCCAATACTTTGTCATCAAACCTATTGCAATAGCTGCAGACTCAAGTTGTGACAATTGCAGTAATAACACAACCTTATCACTCAAGCGAAAAATGAAAAATAACAATAAAAACCCGGCCGGTGGCACGGTGACGGCCCGAACCCGGCACGGTGACGGCCCGAACCCGGCACGGTGTAACGTGAATCAGCCTTAATGCGACAACTACAGTTAAAATATGATCGCCTCAAGTCAATTTCGCGTCGATAAGTGAGGTTTATTGTCGCCTTACTTTCTCAAACTCGTACCATGAAACACAAATTTACTGAAATGCAAAAAATGTATTGTATACATTGACTTACAAATAAATGGACGGCCGGTCTAATACAAAAACCACGAAAAAAATGTCCCAAGTCAACCTATTTAAACGTAGTGACATGTAAAGGAATATGAAAAAGCTAAAATGTTGAATTTAAATTGTAATGTCATCGCAGTACTGTCTAATTTTGCTTGCTTCGCTGTCAGTTGAACAAACGAAGACTAAAGCGTGAATGACGCACTGTATACGATTTTAACGCCCTATAAGTTCGGACACTTTTTAGCGCGGACCCGACGTCCATATATAACTGCCTCCGTGGCCGAACGGTTACCATACCGGACTGCCACGCAGAGGTCCCCGGGTTCGATTCCCGGGCCGGGAGAAATATTTGTATGGCCTACATTTATTTCTCTCGTGAGTTTGGGTGTAATTTTGTGGTTGTCTATGTGTGTGTCCATGGCACCCGCGACACAGGGTTTCCCTAGTGCGGGGCTATGTTGAGTGTGTGCGTTATTATTATTATTATTATTATTATTATTATATAATTGTAAGTCAATGATTGTATATACAAATATCGCATTCTAATTTCACATTACATTTTCTTCATGTTCACACAACGGCTTTTACCTATTCATAAAGTAATGCATCTAAATTAACACCCTTGATAAGAAATTTAAAATAAAAAAAAGTTTTGCCATCTCCTGAATCACTCTTTATAAGATACGAGTTTGAGAAAGCAAAGCATCGTTAGCCTTTATACGTACCACACCTCTCTCAATCTCCAGCTCCAAACCAATTTTGACAAGAGTGGTAAGAAACTGGGCTTTAATGTCATCAGTATAGAATGCGTCCTCCGAAGCAGAGAGCACAATCACGTAGTCAACCCGACGGTGGTTATCACGAAACATACCGGTGTATGCAGGAAACTGGAAAACAGTAAAAGTTTTAGTAACAGTAGAGCACCCTGTGAAAGAGTTTGTCCAGGGAAGTACTGCCACCATACTTACCATACATATTTTTGCCGCGAAGTAGTAACAGGAGCATTATTGCGTCCCAGTTTGGACCTTACCCTTCCAAACTGGGACGTCACATGTGCCTGAAACTTCAGCAGCACAAGGGTGCACCCTTCAGGCAAGTTTCAGGCACATGGGAATTGTCAAGTTATGTCTCAGGGTGACGGGCGCAGAGGCAGTGACCCTAAGATCTTTACGAGTGGCACTGCAACTGTTACGGACAGGCGTACAACTCAACAACTCTTTTATGGGAAACTGTATACGTTTTTACAATAAGATTCCGGAGCATATATTAAGTTTATCATTTCCTAAGTTTAAAAACTATATTAAAAATATTTTGATCGAAAAATCATATTACAAAATTGAAAACTACGTGTTAGATAAAGATGTATGGAAAGACGACATGGCTCCAGAATCCACACAAATTTGATTCAAAGTGTATTCCATAGCATTTAAGTTTATTTGAAAAGAGCAATCCCTAGAGTTTCTAGCTCGTTCTTCTCAGGGAGGTCAGCGTAGTGAACGAGCTGTAGCTTAAATGTGACGTTTTCAAGTGTAAATTTATTTTACCTATGGAATAAATAATCTTTGACTTTGACTTTGACTGCGTGTCGCTTACCACCAAGCCACGACTTGTTCGTCCTGTCACTTGATATCATAAAAAAAACAATTTGTTGTTTAGGACACTTTGCAGTTGACCACTGATTGTATGAATAGGCGAGCTGAAGGCTTTTAACTCGTTAGTCACTCGCTTAGAATGGTTAGTCATATTTATACATCGAGTATACTCGTATAACCAGAAATAGAGACAAAATAAGAGCCATATATTCCTGGTACCACATTAGCGATACAGCTCTTATAAATATCGACTCCCGTTTGCACTGAAGTATAGACAGGCCAACTACTGACCTAAATTTTATCATCCGGATAAATTTTAAAATTTTATCATAATAGCGATTATGGCGAGCACTGTGACGTCACATTTTCATGTCATCGCGAGCGCCGGCAACCAAAGACTGCTAAAATTAACACAATACCAAACATGCAAGGTTACAGCAGATTTTAAAACATTACGCATAGTAATTTTATCAACGTAAAAGTTGAGCGCAACAAACGAGACGAAAAAACATTTTTGGTTTCGTCGTTTTCGCGGCGATGATTAAACGACAAAGATACGCAATTTTATTTTAAATCGTTGTCCTTGTTCTTGTAACTGTATAACCATAGTTCGTTACCAAATAAGGAGACTTAAATTTATCACTGAATTCAATACTGCCACGGGGAGGTTTATCACACATTTCTGCCATGCTACTGTAGTCTAGGCTCTACTCTATGAGTAGAACTACTGGCTGAGTGAATATAGTTTTGTATTTAGAATGTGTTTAAAAAATAGGATAGAGAAAAGAACATCTTGGCAGATCTAGAAGTAAATATGTGAATACAATAAATATCTAATTTTGAAGTTAATCCCAGTTTACATTTATAAAATACCTATCGCTACGCAACCTAAGCTACGTCTCCAGGTTACACTACGGACACTGGTTCGCGGAGAGCAAATTAATTTATTTCCATTTTCATTGCTTTTAAAGATTTGCAAACTGCAAGGTACAAAATACTTACGTCGTCAAATCCTTCTCGTAAAAGGTATCTGTCCGTCATAGTTATATTAACGCTCTTTTTTTGGGCCCATTTCTTAGCCGTCTCATCGAAACACTTTACACAAGTCTTGATATGGTGTTCTTCGAAAATTGACAAGTCGTCCAGCATCTCTTCATCTACTTGGAGAGCGCAATTATGTGCTCTACCAGATCTCTGTAATACATTTGAGAAAAAGCATTAGCATTTTAAAAGCCTTCAGCGTACCGTGTCTGACTGATCGAACTGGACGAACCAGCAGACCTTACGAAATTTTTCTTTGTGCTTGTTATAGTTCTTTGTTTTTCGTTATTAACGACTGTTTTGCCGTAGCGATATCTGTTTTGTTCACCTTAGTGTTCGATCATTGTGTAGGATTTTCCATTAAGGGCGGGTAGATTTTGATATTTCATAGCGGCCATGTTGTTGAGGCTGTTTTTGTCAAAATGTATTGTTTATTTTTCAGTCACTAAAGACGAATCATCATAGCAAGTTACAGCAACAAGCAACACGTAGTAGCAGTTCAACTCCTTGTGAAAGAGTTCGTCCAGGCAAGTACTGCCACCTTACCAATTTCTGTCGCCAAGCAGTAATGGTGCATTACGGTGTTTGGGTTGTAAAGGGCAAGGGTGCTGGAGAAATCACAGCCACATGGGACTTGTCAACTTACTCAGGGTGACGGGCGCAGTGGCAGTGCCCCTAAGATCTTGTGGCATTGCAAGTGTTATGGATAGGCATGTCGCTTAACAACAGGAGCACGAGTTATTCGTCCCGTCACTTGGTATTGTAAAAATTATGAAAATGAGCGATACACGCGTTGCGCCAATTTTAAGGTTTACGTGGTTGTCCTTCCCAGCCGACTATTCAACGTTTGGTGGCCAAATTCGAGTCCACCGGTTCAATGAACCATAAGCCGAGGTTTGTTGTTAGCTGCAGGGATGAACACATACGTCTGTCCCAGTAGCGCATCTTAGTAGCGGTCTAGACGAGTGCCTAATGTCGAGTAGATGCGAGAGCCGCGTATGTTGCCCTTGAAGTCGGTAGCTATGTCCGGGCATTGTCGCAGGGTACTGCATCTCCGGCACTAGCCCGGAGAGCTAGTAGAGGATGAGCTAGACATCCTCCGGTCCCTCCGGTCGCGTAGGAATTTGGGAACAGTAGGGACGCCGATTTTCGGCGTTGGGAAGTGAGCGTGCCTTAAAGCTCCGGTACCTATCTGGTAAATAGGGAGAGTGCTGTACGTGTAACGGGGCGGCTCACCTAAGGCCTTACAGAGAACCGGATGAACTATGTGGAAACGGGCTGATATGGGGCTAGGACCCGACTTAGATGGTCCCTGCGGAGGTCATGGCGCCCTTCCCGGATACCGTAAGGGCGCATTTCGACTCATCCGAAGGACAGACTCCGATGTGATTACACAGCGAAAAGAGAATAAGTACGTTACGAGAACAATTTCGTTACTCAAACTAAGGCCTATGTAAAGGTGTTCGGAGAATTTATACATCTTATTTCGTTTCGGAAATATAAAATCGAACAAAGGTCGATCTGACATCCACAGCGAAGAAGAACGAACGAAATGGACTATGTCCTGAGAACAAGTAGTCTTGCATATAGAACTTTGTTCTACGGATGAGTCGATTTATTTCATAGCGCTCACCCCGCGCGGTCGCTGAGCGGAGACCGCGTTGCTGCCGCGCAGCGACCGCGTATTTCTAACTGTCATGGCAAAATACGTTCTATTTATTTAACTTTTACGTTTTAACTTGACTTGAATTGAGTCGCACGTGGACGAGCCTGGCATTAAATTTGGTCGCGTGGTTGTATTGCTCAGAGGAATTTACATGTTGTTGACTAGAAAATAGAATTCAGTTTCGCCATTAATGTACATGAAGGCGTGGTAACAGAGCGGCGGCCGCCTCTTGAAATTTTTCTCTCGTGTAACTGGGCGCTAAGAGTCGGTAGGGATGGTCGCTATAATTAAAACTAATGCAGAAAGAGAAAAAGAGAAAAATAGAGAAAAGATATGGGGCTGTTCGTAAGAGTATTCAGGAAAACCCGAAGCAGTCTATTACGCGTGCGGAGGCTTTTTATATTAATATCCAC